ATATAAATATATAAATATATAAATATATAAATATATAAATATATAAATATATAAATATATAAATATATAAATATATAAATATATAAATATATAAATATATAAATATATAAATATATAAATATATAAATATATAAATATATAAATATATAAATATATAAATATATAAATATAAATAGATAAATAGATAAATATATAAATATATAAATATAAATATACAAATATACATATATAAATAGATAAATAGATAAATATATAAATATATAAATATATAAATACATAAATATATAATTAATTATATTATATTATATTATAATATTTTATTAATTATAGAAATTATATTTTCATCTAAATAAAAAATAATATTGTTATTACTTATAATATATTAATAGTTATTATTTTTTATCATAACAGTATGTTTTGATATTTTTATAATGTTATAATATGTTAATATTGGAAATTTATTATTGGGTGAATTAGCTAAATACTTTGTAGTTATTGAGATACCATAAAAGAATGGGAAAAAAATGGTAAGTGAGGGAGGAGAGAGATAGAGAGAAATAGGGTATATACCTAATTTGGTGGTTTTGTGTGTATACACAATGCAAATACTCTTTATTATTGAACCACTGTAGTATCTCATAATCAACCAGTCATAAATGTCCCGCAAACGCACCAGTTTTTAATCGCTGTACCAGTCGTACAAATCGCCTAATAACGCTAGAAACCGCAACCACCCACATCCGCAAACTCCCGCAATCGCAATCGCAACCGCCGCGTTTCAACCAGTCAGACCCTTAGAAAAGTTATCTTTACTATAAAGTTAATTGTGTGTTCTTACTATGTAAGAAATTTGAGCCTATAAGCATGGTTTGGTACTAGACATAAGAGTAACCGTCACTTTTAAGTTATTTTTTTGGTGGCTATTTATAGTTAATGCGTATCAATTAATTTGGAATAATAATTAATTAATCACCCTATATTTACTCAGCTTACGGTTACTCCTCACTCGATAACTGCACTCTCTTTTACTAGTTTTTTTTTTTTGATCCATCAGTTTACTAAATAAGTAAATAATAAGTACTAAAGTAATTTAGAAAACCTTTGTGGACTTGGTAAAAGATTGCGAATTTGGCGGGTAAAGTAGGTTTCGTGGTTCCACGTGCGTCACTCCTTGCTTTGCCGCCAAGTTAAGTAACTTGGGTTTAAATGAGATAACTGGGCCGTTAAATGGGATACATGCTTATTGATTGATTCGTCGAAAGCCCATTCTGTGGCAGATCTTAATAACTGTTTAGAAGTAGAATAAGGTTGGATCAAGAGAGTTGTTGATCGAGAACAGTGAGTCTGGTTGGTGAGGTCGTTCTTTAAGGTTGACAATCTCTTAGGAAAGAAGAGGAGAGCTCTGTATAGGTATAGAACATAACCAAAGTGAGCTCATTTCGAACAATTTGAATCTTCCTAACAATTTATTTGGAGGCGTTTGTTTATTGCATTTACTTGTAATGGGGTTACTTTCAGTCTTGAGTTCGAAATACCATGTGAAAACATGCATCGGTTATTGTAGCGGGCCAATTTCAATTCTTATGTTCGGCTCCATTAACCTCTTAAATGTTTCTAATATACAATTTGATCTATATCAAATGCAATATTGAAATTAATGTCACTTTTTGTAGTTAGTGCTCTTCTCTTTTATTTTTGCTTTTTCTCTATCATTCTCGCTTTCACTTTTGCCGCTGCTCTTCTCTTTATCTCTGGTTTATCTCTAAGATCTACTTGTCCTCGTTTGTTTTCTCTCTCTATAGGTTAGTTCGCTTTCTGATGATAACTCTGGTTCATTGAGGTTTTGTTAGTCTTATCCAACCTAGTTATCAGGTCTCTTTTCATTGTTTTTATTACCTCAAACTTTAGCTGGATTGTTTGTTGGAATGATTGAAACAAGCTGATGATCCGTGCTTCACTTTGTTGGGTATTCTACTCTGTGTTAACTTTGAAAACTAATATCTTTCATTTTTTTTGATAAATCTACAGATTTTGTAACAGAGCTAGTGACATGGCATCTAGTCCTAGCGCAGTGACTGATGAAAGTTATCGATCCCAACCATCGATTGAAGATCAAATGGCCGTTCTTGTTAAGCGAGTAGGGTTTGTTAGAGGGCTGGTTCTTAAGAGCCCCCTATACTGGGAATCTATAGAACTCCTTGCGAAAGACGAGGTTTCACGAGGCATATTCTATGCACTTCCACATGAATGTAAGCTGCATTATCTACAACGAAAGACAAAAGCCCTCAATGTAGAAGAGAGGGCTTCCTACTTATTATAGAAAGATGATACCCATTTTTATTGAATGATGGAGCTAGACTAGTTATGTTTTATGTGTTTGGGTTTCATGTTATTGTGCTTGAGTTTGATGTTGTGGAATATTATATGATTCATTTTGAATGAAAAATATTATATGTTTCATGTTGTGTTTATTTTTGTGTGCTAAATTATGAACCTGGCTTTGGTTTTATGTAATATGGAATGTTATTGCAATTTCTATATATGTTTTTGAGTTTTTTCAATACTGTTATTCGTGCATGCATATGTTTGCTTTAGATCTATAAACACATGGCACGGTTATGATGGATGCATACCCATTAATGAATAAACTCAAAAGATCTTATAACATCATCATGATATATGTGTATAGACAGCTGGCAATAACATACCCCTTCATTGACATGAGTGAAAGTGAACTATAATTTGTCGAATAAATGACTTATTATTTAAATAAATAACAAAAGAATTAATAACAATAATTTGTGATTGGCATATACATTCGGCATACTATTTCCCATGAATGCATGACGTCTTTTAGAATCCCCCATTTTCGAAAACAGTATCTACTTATCTCGCTCAAGCTTTCACTTTATCACCATCATTAACTTCTTGCTGTGGTCGCTGCTTTTGTCTGAGAGATCTATTTGTTCAGAGGTTTGGTTTTGTTACTTTATCTATGTCCGATTTTTGATTCAGTGTTGTGTTCCGTTTTTCCGTTTAGTTCTTTGAATATGATTTTAGTTGTTTACAAAATGCTTTTATTTGGATATAATTTGAAAGGTTGAAGTTTAAACTGGATTGTTCGTTGACACGTACGGTTCAAAAAGGCTGATCTGTGTTAGTGTTTACACTTTACAACTTGATATGATATATAGCCTGGGTTCTTTGTAATTAAACTGATATTTTCATATTTTGATAAACCATGCAGATTTTGCATCACAACATGGCATTTAAATCTAGCGCAGTGACTAATGTAAGCAATCAAAGTTATGGAACCCAACCATCGATTGATGATCAAATGGCTGCTCTCGTTAAACGAGTGGGGGAGGTTAAGAGGATGGTTCTTGCGAGCCCCCTTTACTGGGAATCTATAGAACTCCTTGCAAAAGACGAGATTTTACGAGGCGTATTCTATGCGATTCCAGATGGATGCAAGCTGCATTTTCTGAAACGAAAGATACGGCCTCCAATGAGAAAGAGGCTGAACCCTTTCATGAGTATCATGATGACACTACTGTCCCCAGTCTCCTTCCTATAAATTTTAGTAGAATTGTAATTTTATTTTCTTGCTATTTTGTTGGAATATGTTTCGTGTTGTGTGATTATTTAGTTTTGCTTGAATTTTGACGTTGTCTGGATTATGCACTTGGCTTTGGTTGAATGTAAGAACTATCATTGGTGATATATGCTACCGTATGACTATTTATTTTAATTTAGTTTATAATTAAAATAATCATTAATAATTAAACATGTCTTATATGGTTGGTTTAAAAAATCATTAAAAAATTGTCTCACTTTTTCTCGTTTTATTATTTTATTTGTTTTAGCATATATTTTTATTTGTTTTATATAAGATACTAATTGGAAATTTTTTGAACAACCAGATACTAATTGAAATATTTGTTAATTAACCACCAAGTTCTCGCAGATATTTTTATTTGTTTTGTATTTCCAATAAAAAAAATTATTTGTTATTTTCCCAAATATTTGTTAATTCCAGTGATATCAAATCTATTTAGATTAATAATATGTTTTTACTTTTTAATAATGATCAGGTCCCGTGCAATGCGCTTTATCTCAACGTCCTGATCTCTCCATTTGGGGCCATGATCATCTTGCTCATGTATTATTTCTTCTGATTACCAATTGTTACAACTACCTTCATAATCATCAACACCAGCTTAAATGATTTTTCTCCTTACTTGACTGACAGACATAACTAACACCTCTCTATTAAATTTCTTGGAATCGCACATGACGCCATATTGAATGGGACATAAACATAGGAGTATTTTATAAGTGGATCGGACATGACTCCAGAGAGGAAGCCGTTCACTGTGTTCGTCATGTTGGATAAATAATCGGAGTCGGACATAAACCACAATGGTTTGGTGCCCATTTAAACACCAAATACAATTTTTAGTTTTTGAAATTAGCCTATTTTTATTATAATTTTTTCCTAACTTTTGTTTGAGAAAAATTCACTTAAATTTCCTGCCATAGAACATTTTTTTGAAAAAATTACATGATTTCCATCCTTATCCGTATTGTTGCCAGTAAAAAAGTAAAAGGTAAGTTTGTTAAATTTATTGGATATTTAGTTGAAAAATTACGTGGTGAAAACTTCATAAATAAATAGTGGTATAATTTTCACGATTAGAACAAAAAGTGTTAGTATAATAGTACTTACTCCATTTGAATTTAGTTGTAAGGTCAAATTTCGTTCAAAATAAAGTGTTATTTTGTGATTTTAATTTAAACTTTATTAATTTTATATGTCATTCTATTTTTTATTAGTTGAAATGTGATTAGATTATAATTAATGATGTTTTTATTAGTATAAAAGTACCTCCTCCTTTTCAATTTAGTTGTAAAGTAAAATTTATGTTCAAAGTAAATGTTATTTCATGATTTCAATGTAAAAATTATTAATTTATATGTTATTTTATTTTTTATTAATTAAAATGTGATTATATTTATAGTTAATGATGATTTTATTAGAAAATATGCAAAATTAAATATTTTCTTAATATATGCTTATAAACCTAAAGTGACAAATAAAATGAATCTGAGTACTCATATTGGTTAAAACTTGCATGAATTATATTTTATCACTGTATTTTTACAAATAAAAATTTAACATATGGTCAACTAGTGCATATTGTCTATACTGAACCCCTGGGTTATATTATAAAAATGGACATTTAGGTATATTGCAAAAGACCTATGTATAAGTCTTGCATTTGAGTTTCTTAGTTCGGTTCAGTTGAGTTTTTTGTTTTTGTTTTTTGGTTATGTAGTGACTTAGACCTGAGTTTAAATTGAAACATGTGAGCAGTTTGGTTCAGTTCGCACCTTGGGAAGATTTGTTTGGTTTCAGATGTAACAAAAAAATAAACTTATTTGTGTTAATCTCTCTCGTAAAAATCTGAAATCTCAGCTGTGATTCTAACTTAGGAAATGTCATATCTTTTATATAATAAATTGTAAGTCGCCTAACCACTAAAATTCTGACATGTGACATGATTTTACAAAATAAAACAAAAAAAATGTTTGTCCACAAAAAATAATCGATTGATTTTTTTTTTCTTATTTTCTTGCAATTCTAGTTACCAAAAGTCCTATTTTTCTCAAAATTTCATCCCATGTTTTATAATCAAACTGTTTTTATACAATTTACATTCTTCACCATATGCCAGAGTTTTCAAATATCGTGAATAGAAGATCATTATAGTAAAAAACTTCTCAAAAATTTCTTTATTTCTTTTTGTTTGTATTCTCACAGTTTCCTCAAACTCCACCTTAGTTGTCAGTCACAAAGGTAACTAAGTACTTTTTACTTCTCTTATCCATAAATTGACTTATTTTAAAGAAAATTCAATTTTCTATTTGCTATAGATGGAGAAAATATAAACACTCTAAAATTTGTATTTACATTTGTTGCAAATAAGAAATCAGGAAACTAAGTTTGCAAAAATACTTTAAAATAACGATAGTAGATCATTATTAATTTGTCAAGTTGAAATATGAATACTATTAACTAACAAACAATACTTACAAAAAGTTTCAAGTATTCCAGTTCATTTAAGAAATACTTTAAAGTTAGTATTATTTACTTTCTCTTTTGTTTAAATTAGTTTTTTTTTTTGTTAATTAAAGTTAGTAAAACATTCGTTGCAAATATATTTTTCTCTTCAAAACTTTAATATATATTTTCTACTTTAGTAGTAAGAAAATAATATAAATGAAAGAAAAAAAAGTGTAACCATTAAAAATATACAGAGATTTTTGAAGCATAAAAGATGAATGTGTTTCAGGAAAACGGTGAAGAAAATTCTCAGATGTGATATTGTAGAAATCGATCATTATCTACAAATATTGCAATACATGGAAAATTAACATCCTACAATTATTTTTATCACAAATCATATCATTTTACATAATAAGTTAATAATTTTTTTTCCCGTACGGGATAGTATACTAGTTTCCTAGAATCACAGAAAAGGGACGTACTATCCCGGTAAAATTCATATTTTAAGATCGTATTGACCATGTTTGTAAGAACCCATAAATTTACTATTTTCACAAGAAAATTTCGCAAAGTCTCAAACATATGGGTTTCAAAAAAAAAAATGTCAACATACCAAAAAGAAAAGAAAATCCACATGAACATGTCAAAGGGAATCAAACCCATATGAAACTATCAAGAATATGTAGTAGGCTTGGTAGGTGGCCCTGACCGAGTTGTCGGGTCTACATTTGTTATGTGAATGCGATATTGATAAGTTTTGTGACCACTTTTTCTCAAAAGTTTAATTTTTATAACTGTAATTTGATTTCGATGCACTTTAAATGGCTGAGGCCAGAATTGACCAGTCATAGATAAATATTTTCAAAAGATAAAGGAACATAATCACATAAATAAGTACATATGTTTTCTTTTGTCAAATATAAATAAGTACATATGTTGCCAATCTATAAGAATAAAAATTATGATTACTTTTAACAAGCTAGTTAATATTCCAACTGAAACTTGCAAAACTAAATGGTGGAAGCTTCCAGCCTGGAAGGCACGTAAAGACATTCATATTATAAATTTTCAACTTGAGTTTCGAAAATATAAATATAATTAATATTGACATTTAACTAGAAATTTTTTCAAGCATTTTTAAAATATATAAAAAAATTTACATGTCAATTAAATCGTGAGAGATTAGACTTACAACCCCTTAATAAAAATGGCCTCACTCTTATTATGTAAATCAAATAATTAGGTTAACTTCTGCAAAAATATTAACCAGACTATACGGTCATAATAAGTTAAGAACAAACTGGAAGTTTATTTATTTATTTTTTGTTCAACTTCTTATTAGCACTTCTTCCACTAAAGTGCTAATAACAAAAAAAAAAAAAAATTCATCAACATTCAACTAATATTATATATCAATATGAACAACAAACGGCAGTTGATTCTTGGCACCGCAAAATTATATGTCCATGAAAAAAAATATTTTAAATAACATGAAAACAATATTTGTTCTAAAAATAGTGCAAAATAAATAAATAAATCTAATTAATACTACTATTAATTAAAGTTAAAAATATTTGATATTTAAATGTAAGTTTAGTGATAGAATTTAAAGTTTCTAGTTTAGTATTTACAAGGTGAATTTAAGGGTCTTAGTTTAGAATTACTTTCTTTAATTATTTATTCTTTAATTAGTGTTATTTTGGCATATTTTCATGTATACTATTTTGTTATGAATTTTTTATACTATCTAAATCATTTGCCCAATAAGAAAGGGATTACGAAATATATTAGTGAACTTGTGGTTAGCATGGGGATTCCTTTCAGACGGTTATTATACATTATGTATTCCTAACTTATTAGTTATATCTTTATCCAAAAAAAAACTTGTTAGTTATATTAAAACTAAGAAGAAAACGAGTGTCATCAAAACGTGTAGCTTACTAGCTTGTTTGTTTATAATATACGTTCGGTGAAAGTAAAGTAAACGGATGTTTTTTTTTACTTTGACCAGGTGGACTATTGTTCGCGTCTCTATACTCGCTATGGTCAATTTGTAAAACAACATTTATCAACTAATAAAAATTGCGACAATCTAAATGATCGCAAAAATTCAAGTTGTATTCTACTCTTTTATCTTTTATCTTTTTATAATTATAACAACATTAGCTTTACCATAATCAAAGAATTAATAAAAAACTCTAAATATAAAAAAGAAAAAGAAAAAACACTCTAAATGTATCGTGAAGTAAATGGTTTTCGTCTGCAAGCATATTAAAACCTGAAACTCGGAAATGCGTTAACGTTATAAACTCTTGGCTGACGTGTTTGATAAACTGTAGAAAATAGAAGCCAGTATTATGTATATGTCATGTAAGTAGATACGAATTGAGACTTTGAAGCAAGTTTTAGTCACATATGTTATTGCATAATCTTTAGACAAAGTCACTCTGTTGCTTTTAAGCTACACAGCTCGCAATAACATCAATCAGATCATTTATCGCAATATTCTCTCATCAACAGATAAGAGTTTGTGGTTACACTTAAATGATGATTTCAGTTTGATTTTCTTAGAGATATAATTGGCCGAATAAATACAAAGTTTATATTCACAAATTCAGTAATATACTATAATAGAATTTTAAAATTATAGAACGAGATCACACTTTATAATTTTGTAACCTACATATCTCATTAACCACACAAGCGTAAATGTGGTTGGATGGTACAACCGGGTTGGAAAATATTAATCACCGAAAATTTGTAATCTATCAAATTCAATTTTATCCGTTTGTAAGACTAGGCAACATGAAAATAAAAACTAATAGACAAATCTTAAGAAAATCAATTTTCTTCATATCGCGCCTAGTTTTACAGACATATAAAATTGAATTTGGTAGATTACAAATTTTGAGTGATTAATATTTTCTTAAGATTTGTTAGTCGCGTTAGATAAACATGATTGCTTACAATGAAAATTTGTAGGCAATCAAGTCTATCTAAACGCTCACAGACAAATCCGAAAAAAAAAATTGATTAGAATTTAGCCCTGATGAATATTCCAATCCTTATAAAAAAGCCTATATATCTCGTTTCTTCATATTTTCCTCAACCTTCTCATGCTAAACCTCTCACCCATTCTCTTTCTCATTTTCCTTCTTATCGCATTAAGTTTGTGGTTTATGAATTCTCTTTTAACTATTATGGAGGGGGGGGGGGGGGAGCGGGCGTGTACAATTATATAATGAACGTGTGTATTTTTAGATTAGTCAACTTCAAATAAAATCTAATACGACTGCAATAAAAAATAAATAGTGTAAAAGAACAATTGTGTAAATGTTTGAATAACAGGGGAGCTTAATATCACAATTCAAGAAAATGTGTTTACCTTCACGCTACAATTACTGAAGATAGGTGGTGTCGGCATCTTTAGATGTGAAATGTAAAGAAAGTGGCGTCGGTATCTTTGGACTATTGCGTATTAGCGTTGTTTATTCCTAAAGGCACATATTGTTGTTACTTTCAAACGTCATTCGTTCCTTCATCAACTTTAATCACACAATCAACTAGGTGTTTTTGTTTTTCTGCATCATGAGCAGTAATAAATTTTATTAATATTAGAGATTTTATTACTTTCTTTACCAAATATTTTAATATAAACTGATTTAATTAAACATAAATAAATTTAAAAATGGTATTGTTTATTTTAAATTGTATTTAAGAATGCATGTGTATATATTTAAAATGATAATCTTAGATAGATTTTTTACTTTTTTCTTTTGGTTAAATATATTAATTTAACTTGCAGAAAATTAATAAAAATTCATATAACACTTATATAATGACAAAAATTAAAACTAAAAATATTAATAAAATTTGTAGATATTTCTAAGAAACTAATGATTTTATAAAGTTTATAATTTTATAAAAAAAATTGTAGAAAATTTAGTAATAAAAAATTTCATAATTATAAAAATATAATTAAATAATATTTTAAACTTTGTAATATCATATTTGAATATATTTGTATGATTATTGTTGACAAAAAAATGAGTTTTTACCATATTCTAATAAAATTAATAAAAATATAAATTAACATTAAATAAAATGTATGTATTATTATCATATTCTAAAATGTTTATAAAAAAAATCAACAATTAATTTAATTATCTATGTTATATTTAACCATAAATCATATAATCAATTTTTAGACATGTCACATTTATTTTATAAAAGTGATTCTACAGATTACATATGGCAAATCAGTTGTCAAATGATATCTAAGAAATCTTATAAAGTTTCGCTATCAAAACACTCCAGGAATACATTAGTTGCGATTCTAGTTTCTTTAAAGACATAATTTATTTTGTTTTTTGGTCAGCGAAAAGAAAAATCATTTGGATATAGGGAACAAATTGCTTAAATTATAATTAACATCAAAATATCACAAAGAAATTGCTTGATGATAAGTTCAAAGTAAAACATGGTTTTATATAATCAATTTGTAATAAAAAATACAGTTTTAGCAATGCATTTAAAACTGATGCAGCTTTACTAAAGACATAACATTAAAAGATTTAGACTGTAGCAATTGAGTACAAAGAAATGCAAAGACCTGACCTAATTACTTAAATATTTTAACAGTTCATTTCTTTTTATTTGTTATGGCTTGCGAGACATGCTATTTGGCTTAGATGCGTAAGGGATAAACTCCAAAACTACTTTTTCGCAAGTAGTCAAATTACAAAAGATAAAAGGTTAGAAATGAAAGAAAAGCAGTTGATACGCTGAGTTATAAAATGAAAGATTATAATATAATGAAAATTTTAGTCATGATGTAATAATTACACCAACCATACGTGTATGACATTCACAGTTTCACGCACACATCAACCTCCTATTTAAACCCAAACAGATACCTCATCAACCAAAAACAAAAAACCACACACTAGTCATTTAAAGACAAAATGGCGTTTGCGATATCAAACCGAAACGCAGTCGCGTTTCTTGTGACGCTACTTTTAGTTTCCGTCACACCATCTTCGTCCACACTACAACAAGATTTCATACATTGCCTCGTCGACAACTCCGACATGGCGTTCCCTATAAGGGCGTCGTTTTTCTCACCCGACCAAAACGCTACTTTGTTTAAAGAAGAGCTTGAATCGTCGGCACAAAATCTCCGTTACTTGACGCCGTCAAACCCGAAGCCTGTGTTCATATTCGAGCCTTTGTACGAGACACACGTCCAAGCAGCCGTCGTGTGTGCCAAGAAGCTCCAGCTTCACATGCGCCTACGTAGCGGTGGCCACGACTACGAAGGGCTTTCGTTCGTCGCTGAGAACGTAACGCCTTTTGTGATCGTTGATCTATCGAAGCTTCGACAGATCGACGTCGATTTGGACAGTAACAGCGCGTGGGCTCACGCGGGTGCCACTGTCGGAGAGGTTTATTACAGGTAACGCTTACGCATGTATTGTTTTTGTACTATTGGACCCATGCATGAGTTCTTTATAGGCAAGCATTTTTTTTATAAGAAAGAAAAACTTAAGCGTAACACCAAAAACTGATTTTGGGATAACAAAAAAGAGGGATGTAGTATTACAAGTGTAGAAGTTCATTACCAAACAAGATATTTCTTTTTTGATAATATTATTGATTTATTTGGGTAGAACGTCGCGTAATATTTTGACTGCAAATAGTAACCGAAGCTTGACTTTTTCCAGGCAACAAAAATTATTTTATAGGCAAATAAAATAGCTACTTTGTTCTTTGGCATTACCTATTTGCCATGTGGGAAAAATATTTTGTTTGCTAACTTTGTTTTAGTAGATTCTTTAGAAACGTCAGTTGGAGGACTACTTGTTTTTTTTAATTCCCTGCTTTTGTTACAAATCATTGTTATTAGATCAAACTTCAATTTTTTATTCGAAGATGCTTTGTTTAAAATCCATTACAATGATTTGATCCGCTAGGTTTTGCTTTTTCTTTTTATATAATAAACTAAAAATGCGATTTTAACCTAAATTATTGCCTGTGTCTATATATAATTAATTTACATTAACTCAAATGAAAAATACCTAGATAGAGATCATATGATCGAGTCATATTTGAGAAATAAACTAATATTACATGCATGGTTTAGGGTTTAAATTTATATGGATTCTGTTCAGAAACTCTTGATTAATTTTTTTTTTTGTTACAGCTCCTGATTAAAAAATGTATTTATTAAAAAAATTTAAAAATCTAATTTGCCTATTTGTTTATTTTTGGATTTTCGTGGTCAGAGAGTTACGAAAACTGGTTTTCCTTTTATTCAACCAAGTGTTAGACCCAAACCAAAGTGAAAGAAAACCTAACTCGGTTTGGCTTTAGTCAATGACTTAACTAATCGATTTTCTAACTTCTCGGTTTAATTAGGATCCATGAGAAAAGCCAAACCCATGGTTTTCCCGCGGGATTATGCTCCAGCCTTGGCATAGGCGGCCACTTAGTCGGCGGAGCGTACGGTTCCATGATGCGTAAGTTCGGTCTCGGCGCCGACAACGTCCTCGACGCGAGAATCATCGACGCAAACGGCAAGATCCTTGATCGTGCAGCGATGGGAGAGGACGTCTTCTGGGCTATTCGCGGCGCTGGAGGCGGAAGCTTCGGCGTGATCCTTGCATGGAAGATCAAGCTCGTTCCTGTTCCAGCTACTGTGACGGTGTTCACAGTCACGAAGACGCTTGAGCAAGATGGGACAAGAGTTTTGTACAAATGGCAACAAGTTGCGGACAAACTTGATGAGGATCTTTTCATTCGTGTGATTATTCAGCCAGCGGGCAAAACCACCAAAACCGGAAACCGTACTATCTCTACTTCGTACCAAGGACAGTTTCTTGGTGACTCAAACCGGCTAATGCAGGTAAACTGGGGTTGAATTCATTAAGGTTATGATACTAGGTAGCCGTGGGATTATTACCCAAATCAGCTAAACCGAACCAAAATCTCCGGTTTATGATTTGGATCCAGTTATGAATTCATTAAGCTTTTAAAGTATTTGGGTTATCGGTTTGGTTTGGTAGTTGGCTAGCTCAGTTTTCATTTAGAAAAATAACAATCCTAGATCAAACTAACCAAATTAACCAAAAACTGAACTAAACCCAATCTAACCGAATAATACAAGTTTTTAACAAGTTTAAACCAAAATCTAACAGAAACTAAGTGCATGTTTATCAACAAAACCCACTTAAAGGTTCTTAGCCACTAATGGTGGAGTCTATGGTGACCAGATCTTTTAATATGATCTCTCCACCTCTCCTTTTACCCATTCCTGTATGACACGTGGATTAAAAGTCGTGGCTTACTCCTATTAATTAAGCTATGTATTTTTTGTATTTTCTTCTGTTACTTTAATTTTTTAATCCTATTTAACCTAAGATATGCTGCTAAGAATCACCTATAAACGTGCTCTAAGTGTATCTATTCAATTCGGTAAAATTCGAAAACCAAAATTAACCAAAAACTGAATTGAAATTTTCAGTTCTACTCAGTTAGATTTTGAATAAACCGAATTAACCAAAACTCAAACTACCGAATCGATTAATTAAATCAAATAAACCGAAACCGCATGCCTATGTCCACGTTTAAACTCCCAAAGTATGATTTTTGTTCGCCTTTTTTAGTTCTTGCAACACAAGTAATAAACTTTATAATTTGACAATTTAAACCCTATTTGTTTCAACAGGTGATGCAGAAGAGTTTCCCTGAGCTAGGACTAACCAACAAAGACTGCATCGAAATGAGCTGGATCAAATCAGTAATGTACATAGCCGGCTTCCCAAACAGCGCAGCACCAGAAGCTCTACTCGACGGAAAATCACTCTTCAAGAACCACTTCAAGGCCAAATCAGACTTTGTCGAAGAGCCAATCCCCGTAGAAGGCTTAGAAGGACTATGGAAGAAGCTTCTAAAAGAGGACTCACCGTTAACAATATGGAACCCTTACGGTGGCATGATGTCGAGGATCTCTGAGTCAGAGACACCATTCCCTCACAGGAACGGGACGTTGTTCAAGATTCAGTGGCTATCTACGTGGTCAGATGGGAAGGCCAGTGAGGCGAGGCATATGGAGTGGATAAGGGATATGTATAGTTACATGGAGCAGTTTGCGTCGAAGAAGCCGAGACGTGCGTATGTGAATTACAGGGATCTTGATTTGGGGGTGAATGAGGGAGAGGGTGATGCTAGAGAGTGGGGGGTAAAGTATTTTAAGGGGAATTTTGAGAGGTTGGTTAAGATTAAGGGTGAGTTTGATCCTGAGAATTTCTTCAGGCATGAGCAGAGTATTCCGACAAAGATTGGTTGATGGAGTTGGAAGTCGTTGACTTTTAAAGTTCAGTAAAATAAAATAAAAATGATTATATAGAAATGTTGTGGCTTTGGGTTTTGGCGTTGAATGTATTTGTGGTTTTTTTTGTCTTGTTATATTTTACTTATGGTGATCTGGTTTGGCTTTGTTTGAGAATTAACTTTTGTTTTTGAATTAATATAATGTATGCTTAAGATTCTGAATTCAAACCTTCTAAATTTCGTCAATGGGTTAAGGATTTAAAAAGAAGACGCATTGGCTTATTTAACAGAAACTTATCATACATACATCTGCATCCCAGAGTCAAAAGACATGTGCCTGAAGAATCAAACAGTAAGCCATACCCAAAAATTTACTGCTTTTGATCACTTTTTTTGAGCTAAGGAATCATCTAACAACAGAGGTTTTGTAAAAACTCGGTTGTGAAAGCTCGCTGTTCGTCGCTCAACAAAGAGAACCACTTTGTGACCAGATTACCTGAAGCAGATAAGCTTTGATTGCCACAACCAGGAAGCATGGTGGTTTTGCCTTGAAAGACAGTTGAAAAATCCAGCTCAAGCGTCTTCAGGAGGGAGCACACAGTTGTTACCTGGACTGCAAAACCAGCTTTTAGTGTCGTGTCACACCGCAGAAATGCTGACAGTTTCTCCCTCAAGTTTGAGATTCCTTCGTTTTCATAGCCACCAGCATCCACTCCAATACTGCAAATTTCAAAGAGAGAAAGGAGAGTTGGATAACATTATATCAGATTGGTCCTTCTGCATAAAGAGACAAACTAATAAACATTACCTGCAAAGCTGCCCAAGAAGAGAGACGATTGCAACAGCAAGGTTCATTGACAATGGCGTTCCCAGCATCTTAAGCAGTGGAGCAACAATGTTCTCACTAGTCCAATCCCATTCCTGCATTTATACATACGATCAAATTGGTACAATAGAGAATCAGTAAAACATTGCGTCAAGGTTAAAAAATACTTAAAACATACCGTGTAACAACCAATAAGCTCCACCAATGACAGAATGTCACATAAAGTAACACTTCGATCCCTGGCCAATACCAACTGGAAATTTTTGTGTTCCGGCCTAAACTCGGTCAAACTCTGATGCAAAGTGTTCGACTGAGAAAACTCCTTAACAATTTCCATGAGCATCGATGCCATATCCTCCAGCGAGGATGACCTGTCTGAGAACGGACACTTGTTCTTTCCTGGGTGCAACTTAGCATTTCCTTCCACACTACCAAAATGTTTCTCCTCTAGAAACATCAGAATAGATTTCAACACTGCAATTGATACGTCAGAATCACTAGAGGACATCGTTTTCTCACCAGCAATGTGAGCAAAAACGTGAAGAATGGTCAGTGGCACTGAGGTCTTCTGATGACTGTGCTTGTGCAGGATTTCGAAGGAAGCTTCGCGGATGAATTCAATACGGTTCACTGCAATACATATAGCCGCAAAAATAGCACTTCCCGCAACCAAGTGATCAAATAGAGCAATTCTGCTAACGAGAGCTACATTTTCTTCAATCAGAGTGACATGGATGCTTAAATCAGATTCAGTTGTTTCTGAGGATTTAGCAGAATACAACACCCTCTGCTCGGAAAGGAGGTCCTGAAGAAGACTAAGGAGTTCTTCCAAAAATTCAGAAAGAATACCTCCAGCTTCAGTATCAGCCATAGCTACACAATAAAATTCCAAGTCAAATTAAAAGCAGATTGAAATGTTAAGTTTTGAGAAGAAAAAAAAGAAAGGAAAATGGAATCAGGACATACCACCAGCTATATGCTTCGAGAAAGAATCCAGGCAGGAACAAGAATCATCATCCAGAATGTTCCCAATTTTCATCGAGGAAACCGCAGAGAAGTTATGCAGCAGCAAAGAGAGGAACACACATACCCTTTCCCTGAAAAAAGGGCATATATTAGAGCCCAGGCACTAGTTTACTGAAGGAACTGAAGGATGTAAAATATATATAAACATTATGCATTGAAAAAAGAATCAGAGAGCAGAACAACTTACTGTGGCAAAAGGGTTTCTTCCCTTTTCAAAGAGAACAGAATCGCTGGTACTGCCCACTGTGCTCTAGTAACTGATGGGCATTGCTGAATACAATTGTGTGCAGCATGGAAAATTTTGATGACACTGTTCTCGTCTTCCATATTCGAAAACACAACAAAGTATTTAAGAATACGACCATGCAACGTTGTTGACTCACGTGGCATTTTTACTGAAGCATTTTGAGTGTTACCAGGAGCTTCACTAGAATTTATGTTGCCACATAAATCCATGACATTACTACTAGTAACCAAGTCCAGCGCCATAGCATGATTTTTGTCTTCATTCACGACATCATCGACCAAAAAGTCTACCTGGGGAAGATCAGGGGACAAAAGTGATTCTCTTGCCATCTTGTAACATATTTCTTCTTCTGGATTATCCAAATCCAACAACTTCATATAATCTATAGCAACATCCTCCACAAATGATGCTACCGATCCATGTCCTTTAGCAGTGGAGAGGCATATGTGCTTGCGGGACTCAACTGCCTCTGGCATTCTTTTTCTTTTCAGAAATGTCTCATTAGCTACCTCGTGAATATCTTTCTGACGTCTTTGAAGATAGTTTTCAGCCACCAGACAGAGATTTCCTTTTCTCCTGGTATCGATTTTCTGGAACGTACTTGATTTTGTTGGTTGGATATCCGGTTGACCTTCTGCTATTTCCGCTGTAGTAGTAATAGTGAAGTGTTCTGTTCCCTGTGAGGCCAGTAATTGCCTATCAGAAAAAGATTTCTTGCTGGAAAACACTCGAGAAGTCTGTAATTTTCTAGAACCTCCAGTAGGAGACTCCAATTGAGAAATAGTACCTGATACAGGCCCACTCAGACCCTGTTTGGATTTAGCAACTAACTGGGTAGAGAGCTTGCGAGCCTCCTCCTGAGAACCAGAGCTTGCTACTAACCGGCACTTTGCGCCAGGATGATTTTTGCCATTACGGTTCTTATTGGACTCTAGCATCTGCATTCTCATGCGGCCCTCCGCCTGCAAGCAATAAAATAAAACATAAAAGGATTAGTAAGGAATTAAAATAAGTACAAATTAAATTTTCTCGCCTTCAACAGACTATAGCCTAAATACTAGTACTCAGATAACTTCAACTGAACTAAGTTGAGATTGTTCCAGCCACACGTATATAGACAACGTTTTCTTGTTTAATTACCATGTCAATCGAAAGCGATCCATCATGTAACCTATTGTCAGTTAACAAAGAAATTTTCAAATATCAAAACATATTTACGGTCACTAAGCCAATTTTCAAATTAGGATGAGAAGGAAGTATAGAGTAAGTAAACAAACCTTTGCAAAACCAGCTGTACCTTCAACGTCTCCTGAAAAATACTCACCCAGTAGACTCATGCGATTTGTGAGGCTACCAAACTTAAGTTTTAACTCACCTATCTCTTCGGCCTGAAATTCCCTTAGAATTCTTTCATACTCGGCCACTCTTTCGGAGTGTTTTGCACATTTTCTCTCAAACTTCAGCTCTTTCTTCAAAAGCCTCAGTTTAGCCTTATCCAGATCTCTGGCGTTATGAGGAGAAACTGAGTGAGTCTCAGCGGACTTCTTTTGGGAGAGTGAAAGCTCATGCACCTGTTTTTTCAAACCCTCAGTCACTAAATGCGACTCTTGCAACTGCTGAGACAGATCATCAACACGAGATTTCCAGTCCATGGCTGATTTTTGATTCATCTCAAGGAGCCTTATCTGTTCTTCCAGTTTTGCCGAGTTTTCAGCGAACTTTACTTTGCTGCTAGCGCTCTGCAATTCTGCCTCTTTCTTAAGCTCTTCATTTCTAGTCCTAATGATTTCGAACTTCTTAGACAAGCCTTCTGCCAGCTTCATCTGTTCCTTAGCTTTTGCACTCTCCATATCTGCACGTTTTCTCTCTTTCAAAGTCTTTTGTTTTTCAGATTCAAGCTGCTTTTTTACAGCCTCAAGATTGGAAGTCAAAGTAAGCAGATCAGAACTAGTCTTATGAGCTGTAGTTCTCAACACCTCCAACGAGGAAAGATACTGATCAGCTTTCTTTTTCTCTGATTCTGCCTTCTTCCTCTCTGACTCTGTCTCTTGCCTCTGGCTTGCAAGAAGATTTTTAACCAGACTTATTTCCTTTTCCACTTTAGAATCGTGTGGCTTCATATCCTTATATTTTACCAGCAGAGCCTTTGTCTTGTTCAGTTCTTTACAAATCTGTTCCTTCTCTTCTTCAGAATTATCTGCCCGTAACGTTTCTATCTTAAGGAGGTTCTTAAGTTCACTGATCTCCTTTTCTCCGCCAGATTTTTGATCCTGAAGAATTTTTATTCCTTCATTCTTTTCTTGATGGTTCCGCTCCAATTTTTGTTGCAAAGACAATATCTCAGACTTCAAATCGAAGATCTCCTTTTCTAAAGATACGTTAACCACTGAGACATTTTGATTAGTGTTCGTGTTATCCACCATCTCCCCAAGTTCTGTAAGATTTAGATAGAAAGCAAGTAGTGATTAGTCAAAAATACATAACAAGATTGATAATTATAGTAATAAAACCATCTTTCCACCCAATTCACACAGCCAAGACTCAAAGGATATAGAGCATATCACTAATATCTCAAGTTAGACGATTAAAACCGCCATAGACTATCATCATTTGGGAAGAATTAATCAATTTAAATTCAAGTGGCATACAACGATAATCCAGTCTAAATGTTTATGGTTAATCATTCAGAAACAGAAGCACAACAAAATAAAAAGCAACAAGCTAACCTCCTTCACTAGTAATGCTTTCGTTTACCAATAACTACCAACTAACACCGATCAAAAGTCTCTTCTAAGTGCCAAAATCAATACGAAGATAAGTAGAGAAGAGTATACACTTACTTTTCCGGAGATTAGTTTTCTCATCATTAACGATTCCCATGGCCTTCTGGAGGATTTCTATCGATGCTTTACAAGCATCACGCCTATTCTTCATGCCTAGGTACTTCCGTTGCCACTAAAATACAGCCAAAAGAGGATTTGTTTAAGAAAATCACTAAAACACCATGAAAATAATATACTATTTGGAGAAAAATACGTACCGCGAGGCAGCAAGGGCTCCCTGAAGCGAGCTCATGTGGCGGATCATTAACCGCCATAGCAGGAGATTCCTCCGATTCTGGAAACTCGTCGCCAGGCGGAGCGATTAGAGAAAGCTATTAGAAAACGAAATTCAAATACCTAAGACTGTATAGTTCGAGAAGAAGGTAGGGAAAAACCGCCAGCGATTGGATCTTGACGCGGGTCGGTGAGCGAGTGTTGGTTTTATGTCTATCTTTTAAACAGGCCCAGGCCCAGCCCAATTAATTTCTGTTTTTTCTTTTAAGTTTATTTCTATTTCGTTTTCTTTTCAAAGAGATTAACAGAGTAAGCATCAGCGCTTGAACACTCTCTACACAAATTATATGTTATCTTACTGCACATTTAAGTCAAAAGATTGTGTTCAAATGTTAGTTAGTTAGTTAGGCATCCAACACATTTTTCATGAGGAAAAAAAAGTTGATGAGTATCATACAAAAGATATAAGACCAAAAGATACATTACACGTTAGTAGGTGTTCTTGAATGCTTTCGCTGAGAAACACACCAAAACTATTAAAAATAGGATGTGAAGAAGCATTTGATTTACAAAGACAGTGGGTCCAAACGAAACCTCAGACAAACATCTCAAAACTCGTGAGGGATGATTAACAATTTAAGGTTTTAACTGTATTGCAAATATCCTTTTTTGTTTTGCATCTTAGTACAACTATTGCTTTCCTTTGGGGGCTTTTGTGGTGGGAAGTGTCCCAAACACTATGTCCCATAGTGACGATGTTATACCAAATCCCTTGTCTTGGATCCTGAAGTGATGGTTCAAATGGTATTTCTGCAGGAATCATATGTGTGATTAGTTAAGTCTTGGGACTGGGATACAAAAGTGAAGAAACATAGACCGAGGTTTAAAAGACTTGGCCATGTTTTACCTTGAGGTTTTTCGTCACTGCTTTGGTTGGTTGGGCATGGTGAAGGTAGTAGTGAGTGACATCGTACATCACGTACCCGAGCATGCCGCCTCCAAACAACGCTGGTGTGACTGAAGGAGTTGTGAATAGCTTCACAAGGTTCCAGAACTGGGACACAAGAAAAGAAGACGATGTTATGGTTTATTTCTGAAAACAGAAATAATGGTGTTGACAGTGATCAAATGCTTACAGGAAAGCATAAAATCGCTGTTGCAGTAGGGGGAAAGACGAGTCTAAGGTGGTCCATTGGGTGCTTGTGATGGCATCCGTGGAGAAGATAGTGTGCCGTGTTTCCCCTGAAATGGTTCCACAGTAACATTAGCATCTGACAGGAATCAAATGTAACACACAGAGAAAGAAAAGAGAGAGTGTGTGTGCGAACCAGTAACTCTTCGTCTTTATGTGGAAAAGGAAACGGTGGAGAGTGTATTCAATAAACGTCCAGATAAATATTCCCAAGGCTATCAATGGGACGATTTCTGGAAGTGAAAGGCCCCTGCTTACTGACATGGAGATGCACCAGAGTGAAACTGGCAACCAAATTACAGGAACCACCCACCATCTTGTAAGGGTCAAGAACTGTTCCATTGCAAGTGTGTCAGAGAATGGAGATCAGAGGCTTATTGACATTGCCTATGGAGAACTGAAGAAAGGAGACAGAAATTTATATACCTCCCAAAAGTCACTCTTGAAAAACCGAGGGCCTTCCTTTGACACTATGGGTTGGTGAACCCATTCCTCATAATCATCACCAAGATGACCAACCTGTATAACATTCAAAGCAATGACAAGAAGGATGACATAACTTTAATCACTGCTAATAGTTACGAGAACAAAAAAATCTTGGGTGATTAGAGGCAACGTTGACACAAAATTAATTACATCTATAGCAAAACAGTAGTTACCTGAAATACAAGGGGCTTATTAAGATCCACAGTGAAACCCTGAGCAACCATTGTGCAGACCTTTTACTGAACTGAAAAAGACATTGAGAAAAAAAAAGACTATCAGGAAAAAGACAGCCATAGTCCAACGCTCTAACGATAGATACTGTAATTCTTTCACAGAGGAACGCATGGTGACGTCATGAAACACAATGATGTCAGCTTCTTCAACAGGCCAAACACATTAATAATGTACAAAATTCTCTTCACTATGATTCCTCTAATGCATCAGTTCTTAACAAAAGCATTGGTCTATTGTATTGTTAAGATATAGTACTTTATTGTTCTTGAATATGATTATCCTAATCACGTATAAAATTATACTACTTGGCTAAATTGGCCCCACGACAAAGCCATAAAAAATATCAAATCCTAGCAGAAAAGCAAGTTTTAGTTAAAAAACTTAAAATCAAACAACTAAATATTTTAAAAATAACAAGATACGATACAGCTTAGATGTGCTTGTCACTCATTCTCTTTTACAAGGACCCCACCAAGCATCAAATATATACAAGCAATTATAGGCAAGTCACAAGTTTTTTTTTTGTTCACTAGGCAAGTCACAAGTTAACATCAAATAAACAAAAAACAAACTAGCTGCCACGTTCAAAACACCAGCTGATCTGGGAAACTAAATCCAAAATATTCTTAACCTACAACAACACATTGGAGAAAACTTTGGGAACTCTATAGCGTAACCGAAGTTCTTCCCACTGAAAGCACATTAACGTGTGTGTACCTATTAATATTATATAATATACACAACCCCTTCCTTCTAGCAAATACGTCCAAAAGAATTGAGCTAAATTAGCCTTCAGCAATGCATAATCAAGATTTGATAATATTCCGATCAAATACAGTTAACACCAAATCAAAAGCTATACAAAACTCCATGGCAATCTCAATGTTCCAGAAAACGAAATCTATAAATCGAAAATACAGATTCAAAACCACAAAGCGACGACGACGAACGAGAGAGAGAGTATAAGAAACGGACCTAATTGAGAATGCCGGATCTCAGCGACAGCCGTCGGCGAGACGAGAGAGAATCGCCGGAGATTGTTTTTGATTCTCTCTGGTTTTGCGTTTGGGCCTTTGGGGGAGAGTGATTGTGTGTTTCGGGAGGGTGGTGATTTATATCTTGTAGAGGAGGTGGATGGAATCTGGGCCGTTGGTTTTGGAGAGAGAGGCCTTAGATCTCGGAGAGCCAACGAATCTTTGAATTCAAAAATCAAAAACCAACGGCTGTGCCAGGTTGTTTCTCTTTTGGCTTATTTTCATTTCGTATTAGCTGTGAAACGCTCATATGCTTATATGATTCCAAAAAATTGCACGTTGTATACAAACCAGTTACAGTTTTTTCGATTTTTTAATCTATTTTTTCGATCTTTTTTTGGTAACAGAAGAGATTCACATTCATTTTTACAGTACAAGAACTAGGAAGCTACTCTTCATTGACGAACAAATGTTTTTCTGGTCAAATGATTTAATTTTCACCAATTTTCCCATATTTATTTCATTTTTAGTTGGGGCTCACGTGACCTTCGTTTAACCCACTTGTTTGGTAACTCGCTAGATCCGTCTCTCGACCACCAGACTCACAACTAGGAATGGTATAGCTATAACATTTCAATAAGTTTAATATCAAAGCAAATTTAGGGTCTTTTTGTAATTATAAAAAATCAATCCCAAAATGCAAAGATGATTAAATTACAAGGACTGTATAAGTAAATAAAAGAAACAAGGGGTACTTCCGTAAATAGCAACAGATATCAGTTATAAGGGTTTGGTATCTTTCTCTTCCCCGCCTCCTCTTCCCACTCGGCACAATCTGTTTTCGCAAAGGTGAATCAATCAGCTCATTTCAATTACTAAACATTCCTTAACATTTGTGTTTAGTGTATTCATGGGTTTTTTCTGTTGCCAAAAGCTATAAACCAATGGAGATTTCATGTTTCTATTTCAATGGTTTAGGAAAGTGGAAACATTTTCTTTAGTGGAAATTCGAATTCATTTTTCTTTCAGATTGTGTCTATAGTGAAATCAATTGAGTGATTCTCGTGCTTTGATTGTAAGTTGATGTGTGAAGTTGAGAAAGTTTCATATCTTTCCATGTTTACTGCATACGTCTTTGTCCTATGTTTTGAGTCTTGATTTCACTCTAGTGTGTCTTAATCTTGTGTAGGTGCAATAAAGATAACTCTTTGAAGTAGTAGCAGAACCAGTTACATAAGAGTATGGGAGCAGCAGAGGCTCTAACTGATCCATCAAGCCCATATGATCTCGGCAACAACACTGATTTGTCTGACACGGAGTCGTTTCATACCGTGAGAAACGCCCTTTTATCTGTCCAGAATGTGTGTGTTGCTTTCTTCTCTCTCTCTCCTCTGTTTTCTGTTTATGCTTTCTGACTCTAGTTTATTCGTTTTGTTTACATATACCAGGGGGAATCAGACCTTTACGATCAGCTTGTTCAATCTACGCAGATCAGCAAAGGATCTGATCATGCTGTGTGGGCAGACCTTGAGGTATGCCCTTGTTTCTTTGTAAGACTAATTAATCAATTCTTTTTCTTTTTAGATTCCTTTTTTCGCTTAAGTGTTTTCTGTTGTTTTGCAGACTATCTTGAACGCTTTATCATGCTCTGTAGCTTACATTGATATCATTCACCATCGAAAGCTTCTTTCTTCCGTAAGTTTCTATTGCTTGAGCTTTTGCTGTTACTTGCTTCTTAATTAAACTAGCTTCTAATTATTATGTTTACATTACAGGTTTTTGGAATGTCACTGTGGGATCTCAAACCTCATGTTATGGATGCGTTGGTGGGCCTACTCATATCACTGGTACACTACTCAAGCAGTTACCTTCATGTTTTACTATTATTTAATCTGCTGTAGGAGCTAAACATTTGTTTTTTTGTCTTGTTTTCTTTTTCATTACAGGCTGCTACTAGTGGAAGGTATCTGGACTCTTGTCTGAATATGCTCATAGGCCACTTCGTTCCACCGCGTTGGGTGATTGATAGACTCTCGCAATCCCGTGTAATCAAACAAAAGGGAGACGTTCTTACTCGGGTTCATGGAGCCCTTCTGAATATCTCTCTTTTGGTTCCTCTTACACCCTCGAGATTATTGCCCATGCTCTCCCAGCAAATGCCCAAAATTAACAAAAAGGACAATGTGAGTCTTTTCTCTTTGGTATTTTTTTTTTATGGAAAGCTCATGATGGCGTTAAACTTTGTAGTAACTATTGTATCGTCTTCTAGGTGGTACTGATGTATGTGGAGAATTTATTCAAGTTGGAGAGCAGCCCAATAGGGCAAGTTGGTGGCAGCATGATTTTTATGATGGTGATGGAGAGGTTGAGAGATTTGGATGTAAGTACAGATTATGTTTTATACAAATGACGCCATTAAGTAACTTGGTTAATGATTGATATACTGGTGTTATCCTTTTAGTTGGATATTGATTGGGATCATATTCTACAAGATGACTCTAGTAGAGGCATGTTTGATATGGAACTTGAAGATGTTGTTGAAGACACTATGAATGAAGGAGAAGAGGTAGGCTTAGTGTTTGTAATATTTTGGAATCATCAAAGTTGCTCTTTCCTATTGCTGAAATATGACAGTTTGGAATTTGATATATCTATTGCAGCTTCCAGTGGGATCTGTAAATCGGAATACGTCAGGTGGAAAAATAGTTTTTGAGTCGTTGGACAAATTGATGGTCATATCTTTTGATCATCTTGAATCATGTAAACTTGATGGTCGTTTGGATCAGGTATGACACCAAATAAATGACTCATTGACATATATTTGGTTTTAGTTCTCATGAATCTTCTTTGCTGATCTGGTTTTAATGATTTGACATAGGTGTTTGAAAAGCTCTTTGGGTCATTTGAGAGTTTCATTCTAAATACATACAAATCAAAAGTGTCGCAGGTAGGCCACATAGCTATATCACTTCTACATATTTCCTGACCATTATTCGCAACTCTAGACTTTAGCAACTCTGGTTCACGGTCAACAGGATAAGTCTCATGTTTAGACTCACGTTTGCTTTCATCTGCAGTTTCTGATGTTCTATGCATGTTCACTGGATCCTGAAAATTGTGGTGTGAAATTTGCGACTAAACTGATGGACATTTTTCTCTCCAGCAACAAGCCTCGGCCTACTAGGCAAGTTTCACATCCTCCTCTATGCTCAAACTTTTCTCATAATTCTATTGTTTTAATGACAACTTGGGTGTGATTTTGTTTCTCTCTTTTTACAACAGGATGAGTGCGGTTGCTTATCTAGCTAGCTACTTGGCTCGTGGAAAGTTTTTGCCTATTTCCTATGTGGCTGCCATGTTAAAAAGGTAACGTTTGATCTGACTGAAGCTTCAGTTTGTTGCAACATTGTTTCTGTCATGTCTGATGTGTTAAAATTGTTAGGTTGGTAGATGAGTGTGCGGATTACTGTAGAACTTGCAATGATCATATTAGACCTGAAGCACATCAGATTTTCTACTCCGGATGCCAGGTAACAAAATTTCACGTTCAAAATGTTGACTTCTCATCCTCTCCAATATCATTTTGCAATTGTTTAAGAGCATTTGGTTCTGTTCTGTGAACACAGGCGATCATGTATGTGCTCTGCTTCCGGATGAGATCCATCCTAGATGTTCCTCTCTTTCGGTCCCAGCTTATACCATTGGAGTCAATTTTAATGCACAAACTAAACCCATTGATGGTGAGCTACATACTCTGATCCCATCTGGTTTTTCATCGAAGCTCAACTGTTATTTGGAACTGCTCCAAAGTATCAAATGCATAATAAGCTTTGCAACCAATTATGTTTTGATAATAGGTATGCCTTCCATCAGTAGTTGCAGAGTTCCTTAAACAAGCTAAAGCAGGTGGCATGTTCGTAGTCTCAGACGCCTTCATTTTCGATGACTTACTTGAGTCTGAGCTTTCCCGAGCTTTTGGCGGGCCTGAGAGGCTTGATACATTCTTCCCCTTCGACTCTTGCTTGCTCAAAAGCTCTAACAGGTTCTCACTATCTTTGATCACTTCCGCTAATTGTTATCTTAAATGGTGGTTCGTGTGTTTTTACTCTGTTTTTGTTGTTGTCTTGGCTGATCTTAAAGCTATATCTCCCCGAATTTCATCTACTGGTCTATGGTGAGACCGACTTATGAAGAAGATGATGATGATGATGAGGATGATGCTGAGATAATTGTGAACGGGGATGAGGAGAGTGATGAAGAGGAAGAGGGTGGTCTTGATTACGACATGAACAAGATGTCCATAACACCTAAGCACTCCTTCAAGAACAAGATGGAAAGAGACAGACTTCTGAAAATGCCTTCCATGATTAGACCTTCCATTAGTCCTCCTGAATCCTTTTGAGTTTTTTTTTTTATTTTGGGTTACGCATTTTTGTAGAAAGTGTTCGACTCAGAACTTTCTAATTTATGGAATCAATGTTTGTTTGTTTTTAATGCGTATAATTGAATTAGAGAAAAGAGTACAATAAAAAAACATAGAACACAAAAGAGGTTAAAAAACCAAAAACATAAGTAAGCACACATTATAAAGTTAAAACTCTGATATAAAAGTGGAGTCTTAAAGAGTTTGAAGTGCCTTCACCACATTGCTCATGTCTGGTCTTAACTCTGCCTCAATTTTCAAGCAGGATGCAGCCATCACAGCCAACTGAACATTATACATCACACCAACTATCATTTCTTTTCTTTGCTAAAATCGGATATTGGTTGTCGTTACTTTGTTTCTAATCTATGAGATTAATATTTTTTACAGGTATTATTTCAGATATTAGTAGTCTTCTAAGTTACACCAAAGTTGTTGATGCTTATATGAAATAATGAAAGGAAAACTATGAGATTAATACCTGTATAACAGCTTTGCGAGGGTACTCTCCGAGTAATCTTGGATCAACGCATTCATTCACCTTGTCTTTGTTTAGTTTAGGAGTTGCCTAACACAACACACAAATATATATATATATATATATATATATATATATATATATATATATATATATATATATATATATATATATATATATACTAGGGTCGGTCCGCGCTACGCGCGGAATGTAGTATATTTTTTTTATTTGAGATACATTATTTTTTGGTAAGTAATTTTTATTAGTTGGTTTGCATTTAGATGTAATGCTTGCACTTTTGATGTACTGGAATTTAGTTTTTTTTTTTTGAAACATAAACAAATTAACATATTTTTTTGAAACATCTAGTATCCCCTCTAAAGGGGTTATAGTTACGTGTTATATCTCTGCAATCATGTGATTAATTTGGTAGCAATTTTTTGGTTTTTATTTTTTGTATATTAACATAAACCTATTTTTTTTGTCAAAAAAAAATAACATAAACCTATATTTTGTGTATATTAACTAATTGTTTTGTCCTATGATCTTACATATAATAGAGTACATTTTCTCTTCTAGTGAAGAACAAACAAAGATGCAAATTCAATTATATATCTTTTTTTCCTATGCTTCCTACTCCTAACAAAAATCTTGCATATAATAGAATTCATTCTCTCTTCTACTAAAGAACAAACTCGATTATATATCTTGATGTTCTTTTTAAAAAAAAATCTAACAAAAATATTTAAGCTTCTCTAACACATTGACCAAAAAACATATCTTAAGTCACTCAAAAATCACATTTTTAATACTTGGCCTGAAACCACTAAAGTAATCACGAATTGTAGAGTAATGGATTCTATGTGTTGCTTCCCCTGCAAACATGACTTGAAAGCTCATGACCCTTGGCTTCATCATGATAATTGACCTGGCTGAAACTTCTTATAGTGCATCTGGAGCAAGAAACATAGCACCAGCCTTTATCCATATTATACCCGGTGACCTTCCTGGTGCAAACAAATTCAAGGGCCTAAAATTTAAATTAACAGAATCATAATACAGACCTTCAAAACAGCAAAATACAGTAGTACTAAAGAAGATTGAGACTTTCAAAACAGCAAAATACAGTAGTACTAAAGAAGATTGTGCAGTTTGAGGCTGAGCAGTGATGATATACTCGGTTAGTTCAGATATGGCCGGAGGCTCAACATATGATAGCATGTTCCCAGTGTGATCTATAATGATGGACAGTAACACGCGATAGCATGTTCTGGATAAGTAATTGGACAAATCGAATGTGGACGTAAAGACGTAAGAACTAATAAATACATACTTTTATAAGTAGGTTTCTCCTGCTTTAGAAATATATGTAGAACGTGTTAATATAGCAGTAATATAAACTTTGGAAAGTGTTCCAAGAAGCATTAGGGTGGATCTCAACTAACCAATATAGGTAGAACGTGACAAATTACCTCCTACGATTTTTGGATTTATACTTGTTGCTACAACAACTCTTGGATCACCCTTAAAGCCGTCCAGGTGGCTATGAAATGTCACAGATTGTGACACACTTAACGTCACGAACACATCACTGCCACGGGAAAAAAAGTGTTAGTAATCCCCAACACATATTGTCTAAAACGTTGTTAACACATATTCTGAAAATGGTGCTGAGCTCAATATGAGTAGATACTAATTGATTTAATGGTCGCAATCGCATGGTCTTTTCCTTGTGAAGGGTCACTGATACTACTCTTGATAGCATCATAGCAGTGAGCTCACCGATAGTGTCTGCAAAGAATTAATATTTAAAAGCCTTTAATATTACAATGGTGAGCATGGCCGAAACAGAAAGTAAGTGAATCACTTGGAAGCTGGGTATTGGTGTTGGATAGGCCAAGCAGCTCACGTTGATTACGGAACCTCAGGTGTTCTTTAGGAATCTGGATCACCGGTTTGGTTAACACATCGAAAGGGGTTGAACCACTGAACCGTATCAATAAAGGAGAATCTGACAGTCTAAAATTATGATCACACCTTGTGACATCAAAGCTCTATCGCTTAATTGACGGTTAACATTGACGGTGGCTGGCATGAGTGTCGCCAGAAAAAAGATTTAAACCAAATAAACAAATAAACAATCAGGACAATCATGAGCAAAATACTAATGAATATGAATCTATACACCTCATGTATTCAAAAACAAAGATGAACATGATTTTGAAGAACGGAATCACCTTAGCATCCAATAGGAGCATCTTGATAATCATGAGCTCTCCACCGTGTTTGACATTTTTGGCCTTCCAAAACTTGAGTAGCCTCACCTCCATGGTGGATGAACAACCTCTGGACTTGTATTAGCACAAATGATAGATGAGCTAGCCATTATACTAAGAAAAAAAATGGTTTGGAATAGGATTGGTGTAGATGATGTTTATGGGAAGAAGACCATACCTTTTATAGGTGAAGCTTCGCTGCCTTGAAGGGTAAATTGAATGAGAAATTGTGGATGGCGTGGGTGGAAGGACTTAAGTAGACTGTTAATGGCGATGAACCATTTAATCCCGTAACGTATCAGTGGCGATGGATCGGAGACGAAACACTATGAAAGATACCGACACATTGATCCTAAATTTGAGACACACAACCTGCTCGAACGTCTATTGGAGTTTGGCCTAATCTTCCTTCACACTACGAAGAACCCTAGTTTCCATCGTAGAAGATGACTGTTTAGAAAGCCGTCACGTATTAGATTGTTTTGGTCAGCACAAATAATGTGTTTCTAGCCCAAAAATGAATAAAATGTTGAGGCCTATTACATAATTGAAACCAATTAAATCAATCATTGAGGCCCACAAAATAGACACATAATGACATACACAAAACTTGTAATGGACAAACACGTGTAAGATTCTTCTCCTTCTATTTAATGACGTGGCAAGTCAAGGAGAGAGTGAACATTTCTTTATATATATAGATATATATATATATATATATATTACCGACTGAACAATATTTCATTTTTAGGAAATATATTCAGAGTATACAGTCAATCTATTCTTTGATTTTTCCAGCTTGGTTTTGGGTGTTATGATGTAAATAGTAAAATTGGTTTTCTCAAAAGCAGAGAAGACTGCACAAAACAAACATTAATTACCCATCTCACTAGACTTTGTTGTCCACGCGGTAAGCTATGATCAACTGGTTTACGACCTGTAAGGAGCTCCAGCAGAACAACCCCAAAACTGAACACATCGCTCTTTTTGGTCAATATTCCCGTCATTATATACCTGACAACACAACCGAAATGATTCCGCAGTGACAAGAGATGCATTAGTGTCTCAGAGCATTAAGAACCAAAACATTCATTTTTGAACCAAATAAAAAAATAAAATTGTATCCGTATCTAAAAGGGGGCATTACTCTGGAGCTTTATAGTCAGTGGCTCCTAGTCCTCGTCCTAGTCCGCCCGAACAAAATGGGCGGACAGCCATGTCAGGGTCTTGATCAGACAGATCGATATCAGCAATCTTGGCAACATCATCATCAAAAAGTAGTATGTTGCTGGATTTGATGTTACCGTGGATAACCTTAGGGTTTACCTTTTCATGCAAATACTCAAGTCCTTGCGCTGCACCAACAGCGATTTTGACTCTCTGCTGCCACGTCAGAACAGGACCTGGCACTGCTCCTAGGACACCTTTTCGGCCTGCACAAAAGAAAGAGAGGGTAACTGATTAATATATATCCAAAGCAATATGGTTTTGCTTTAATCACTCTCTCACCATGAAGAATATCATGAAGAGATCCATTAGGAGCATACTCATAAACTATAACACGAAGAGGCACATCAACACAATAACCCACAAGTGGAATAACATTGTCGTGTCGCAATATCGAAACAATTGATATCTGTTGAAAACTTTCATTGTATCAGTAACCAAAAAAAAGAAGAAGTGGTGTGATACTTTGTTACCATATATAATACCTTTGAAATAAATTCTTGATATTTACTACTATCGTCAAGTTTCTTGATGGCAGCTGCCTTGCTGCTTTTAAGAACAGCGTAAAACACTCTTCCGTATGAACTCTTACCGATCAAAGCCTTTGAACCAAAGTTATCGGTTATATCTCTAAGTTCATCCGCTGGAATGGCTGCTACAGCAATATGCTGCTGTGTCTGAACAACTACTGACTGATCAGTTCTTTGATGGTGATCAACAGATTTTTTAAGAAAATCAGCACTCCCGCACCATCTAAAACAGCTCATTGCACTCTTCTCTCCCACGACTTAGGTTAACTAAGATAAATTGTTTTGCAAAAGTAAAAGTTTTAATATGGTAAATGAGGTAATAACCAAGAACCATGTGTAAAAACTGAGACATTATGTTCAGCTTAATAATAAAATGAAAGAATCGAAAATCGACAGGAAACAAAACTATCGAATGAAAGTTGTTCCGTAGTTTAAAAATAGGGTTGTTTGTTTTTGACATTTAAGGAAAGTATCAAAAGGGAAGAAGAGAAAGCATTTTACCTATGGTTGGTTACAAGAAACAATTCGACGGTAGAGAGAAAGGGAAATTCTCTGCTAAGCTTCGATACGTTTTACCCTGTAGACGATCGTCAACACTTCTTAAACATTCTTGATGACAGACCATTCTTGGTAAACTTACTTGGGCAAGAGTCTGAACTAGTCAAATACCCAAATTACCCCTTAAATTTATTAGAATTACTGTCAAAATACTCAAGACAGCCTAAATATCTACATTTTTCTTACTTGCTTTGTTTTGAAATCATTCATCCATCTTTGGACCTTGAGTTACTCACTTCGTCACAAGACCATTTTTCTTTTATCTAGCCTAGCTTTTACTTCGGCGTTTCTTTCTTTTATGTATTTACGTGGCATGTGGGTCTGGCCATTTCAACATATATTAGATTCGGACCTGTCCGACAGGCGGGTTTTTAATACTTCAAATGTAACAAATTGACATAAAAAGAAATAAGTAATTAAATGTTATCTATTATTAGTTTTAATTTGTTATTTTTCATAACCTTTTATGAATGTTTTGATATAGTGAATTTTTTGTGCTTTGTTTAAGATGCTATGAGAAGAAACCTTTTATAAAAATGGTTGTTCATATGTTTAGAAAATCTGAAAGAATATATCTTTTTTCAATTATTAGATTTTTTGAACCATACCTAGTGTCTCTTCACTAATAGCATATACATGAATTCACGAGTGTAACAACTTGATTTGGATGCGCCAACCAGTCATGAAAGATTCAACACCATTAATAGCCATCGTTTTTTTTTTCACACGAAAATAAGAAAAAGAATAGTTCGAGAGGAATTGCATTAGAAAACAAAATTCGAGAGGAACAGATTATAGACAATTGTAGGCGACATGTATACTGCTTACAGTTAGAGGCGGCCCTTGGCACACCAATCAAGACTTGCTTCCGATCCACAAATTTATAGAAAAAAATTGGCCACATTCAGATTTATAAGAGTTTTAGTGGTATAGTGGTTTAGAGTTTTTGAATAAATGTGGCTCATTTTTTGTTTGAATCTCCTAACCAGTCTCTTTTTTTCTTCGGCTTCTCGCCACAAAAAAAAAAGTCATCAACGGCTCTGAAGTTACATTTAGTATCATTGGATCATCAAGAAAAATATGTGTAGGTTTGTATCTCCGAACCTAATTCTGAAAAAAAAGATGCATGTACTGTTACCAAGCTTGATTTAAGGGTAGAATATTTTTTCTTAGTTTGTCACTTTATTATGCACTAAGCTTAATCATTTCAGTTCCAGACAATTTACATATCAGAAGTCATGTTTTGTTCTCTTGCGCCCTTTTGTATATAACTTTTTATAAAAATCTTGATTTAATAAGGTTCCTTAAAAGCATTTGATTTTCAGACAGCTTCTGGCTGAAGTTTAGGTTGTTGGCTTATGGCGCTTTAGTTACCGTCTCTCTTTGGACTTTACACGGTTTATGTGAATATTTCAAAGACTTGCAAAACAAAATTTCATTTAGACAAAATCAACATAATTTATAGTGACAAATGTGTTTCCTTCTCGAGTTCTATATGAAGGCAAAATTTGACATAAAGGTAATTGAGTTTTAATTACTAGACGAAGCTTTCATAACTTTAAACAGATATATCCACAGATAATACAAATTTGCTCATTAATCATGTCAAAGTCATAACATGGGATGTTTTCTTTTGAGTAAAATTTCAAAATATGACATAAATATGTATTTTTTTTTTCAAAATCTTATTTAGGTTGTTAACAATACAAAAATACAGAGGTATGTAATCATAATTGTCAAAATAGGGTGAATCTGAAACACAATGAAAAAAACTTGTAATTGTATGATGTAATTGTATTTGAAACATGTCTACAATAATGCTCCATGCAATAGTTTAGTGGCTTGGTCTCTATATATAATATGCTCCATACAATTTAGATCAAATTGAAATTTGTTGTTAAAACTACTGGTAAACCATAAATTTAAACCTTAAATATAAATAACCTATGAAATCCTTACAACTTCCCAAAAAATCATGGACTAATAATAAAAGGAAGAATATGTTTTTCAGAGGAAAATGATAAATGAAAAATATTAACAAGAATACAAGTATTGGAATGTTTCCAAATGTGTTTCAAAAAAAAAGAATGTTTCCAAATGTCAATGTACTGCATCAAAAGTTCTATGTATTGCGAGTTAGCTAGGTCACACACCCATACAATTAAGTGGTATCGTATGTCTCGGTGTACCTGTGTAAGATATATAACTCAAATTATATATAGGGTGAGAATGAAAAAAGAGAGCTAGCAAAGCATAATGCATATATTTTTTCTTCATGGTTGTGAGATCTATATATTATGAAAGGTCTACTGTACTCCTTTAGCTACATGCCACTACCCTTCTTAATAATCAAGCCACCACCACTTTCCTACCATCTGCATCTCTATTTCAAGTTATAGATATTTGAACCCAAAAATAAGATATTTAAGGTTTAAGTAGTGCTCAGATGCAAATTCGCGAGTTTGATATATATGAGAAACCCTGCTCTATTTTTTGATTCTATAATAATATTTAGAGCTAAAATCACTTCATCTTTATTTTATTTTATCCTCTAAAATAAATAATGATATTTTCACCTCTATATTTAGAGGAAAAATAGCATTCCTTTATAATAGAGACATATTTTTTATTTACAAAATGATAATTTAACTTTTTATTTTAACAATTATAACCAATAAATACTTTTAGCGAAATGTATTTTATAAAATATAATCATATTTTTCATTTACATAATAGTTTTAAAGAAATGTTTAGTGTTAATAATATCATAATTTTATGAAATGTTAAAATCAGTTGAGTTAGTTTTCAACTTTCACAAATGAAAGGTATTACTTATAAAATTAAAAGAATATATCAATAATATTCCTGTTTAGAAGCGAAGATAGAAGAATATATTAGACACAAATCCATCTCTATTATAGAGTTTCTCTATTTCAGAAGAAAAAATAAGAGAATATATTGGAGATGCTGTGATGATCGCCATATTTTGCTAGATAGAGCATCAATTTTAGACCACGTGGATCACATTCTGGCTGTCCCATTATATTTGCACATATATTTTATTGTGAAATTGTGTTGCTGCTAATAACGCTTTTCTAACTTAATTTTTTTTTTTTTGTTTCTTATAACCTTTTCATAGTTAAATTGTATAGAGAAAGAGACGTTGATAAAGGGATAAAAATAGAAATTGAACCAACTCGCCATCTCTTCTTACAGTTAATCAGCGATGGAAGTCTATTATTTGGTTAAGATAAGTTTAAGAAATATGTGATGTTTAGTTATTTTGACTAACGAATGCTTATATATGATATGAATATGAACATCTTGTGACTAACGAATCCGCTATTTTATGGAAACGATCATCTTCAACTCTTCTTCATGATTCTTCAAATCCTATTCGATATGACGTAATGGGGAAATTATATTTGTGGGACGTCTTTTATAAGCTCCATTGTTTAACCTCATGGCGAGTGATATCCACAAACTTTAATGCCACTCATAAATCATAATTATTATATGCATATATGTGAATATTATATGATCGATGCTATCTATATATGCATGAGCAGCCTATCAAAGTTGGAGGCTTCTTTTCTATCCATGCCTGACTTTACACCTCTATCATGCCCATGCATGGGTCCCTCCCTCCACCTCTCTCTCATTCCTTAAAACAATAGGAACAGAAGAGAGAGAGATGTGAGAATGAAGCAAAGCAAGAAGAACACAATTGTTACTTGTGGCAAAAATAAGGCTTTTCATTTGACATTTTTTTTGTTAACTTTCATTTCATTCCATAGTGGTATAAAAAGACACTTGTGCTTTTCCTTTCCATCGAGTGTGTGATTTCAATATCATTGCTGCATCAATTTCTCATTTATGGAGTAAACTCATGTTTTGTTTTATGGAGTAAAGCTTGATTAGCTATGATGGATCCTTTGCTGTTGTTATTTAGCTTGTATAACACACGTAATTTATATATAACTCGTAATGAATGGATACTTAGTTTTGTATAAACTAATTACTTAACATGTATTTTGACAGAATGCACAACTTAACACGCCATTTTTTTATAGTTATACCATGTAAATCTTGTAGTGATTGTAGAAACGTCGTGTTCAACGAAATAACTCCCTGATTTCGATCCAACATTGCAATATTTTCAATTCAACTGATCATAATAAGCTGAAACCAATTAGTCTAAATCGAAACAAGACATTAGACTGCACTCATGATTCTATCTATATCTCAACTTATTCGGAAATATTACATTAGTATATATCATCTTTTAAAAAAAAAAAAAAAATTGGTTCTAACCGTGCTCCATGATATTTGGTATCTCGAGAGCGTCGAACGTCCAAATTACCCATGTTTGACAAACAAAAACATGGTTTGTAACAAAGACACATAAATGTAATTAATAAAACATGAATCTTTATACATATATAATTCACGTATACAAGCTGGGATCTATACGTCCATTTATATGGAGCTCTAGAAAGATGAATATAAATAGTGGGAATGGAAAAGAAAACTTTGAAAATTTGTGAAATCAAGCAATGTATGTAATGTCAAATGTGTGACATGGGAACAAGAGTAAGTGGACTTGGCCCAGTGGGGTACTCTTATGCTCCATGCCTCTTGCTAAAAAATAAAAAGTTGACACCACAAGTAAAACTATG